GTCATTAGCACCTCTAGCAATATATTTACTGAGAAAAATGGTGTTCAATACTTATTTTACTCGCTGTATATGAATATAAGGCATCAGTTTGCTCCTCAGTGCAGGTAAGCAGTAACTAGTTACAAACGGTGGCTAAAGAACAGAAATATTAATTTGAACTTTCACAGTCTGAACTGTAATGAAAAGCTTTTAAGAATGAGTTTTAAAGATGTTGAACAGAATGTGTTCAGTGTCAGGGTGTCTCACAGCTGACCTTTCAGTTGTTGTCCTGCTCCTACTGGGCTTTTATCCAGAAATTTCTCCTTCCAGTCAGCATTCAGCAGCTTCTCAATGGTTGGCATTACTGTTAACAGAACACAACAGGTACTCAGCTGGACTGAAGTGTGCACAACTCCACAGTATAAAAACACCTCTGTCAAATCAAACCCCTCTAACAGAAGAGTAAACAGCTTTCTGAGCCTCCCCTCTGCCTTACTAATGGCTCTGATTGAAGAAGACGGTGGAAAGATCAGAGGAGCCAAGTTTAGTTGTGCATCAGAGAGAAATTTGGAGTCTTTGAGTGGATCAATATTTGGGCTGAGAACAGGTCGAGGTCAGCGAGTGGAGTGAGAAGCTCAGGCTCGTTAAAGAGCGGCACAGAGGTACGGAGACTCTTTCAAGCAGCTCCATGTGTGCGGCACCAAAACAACCTAAATCAGACCATCAGAGGCTTCAAACAACAAATAACTATTTCTTTGAGTCATTTTTTAATTAAGCACCAAAATACGTCTTTACAGTTTGATCAGCTGATTGGTTCCTCTGTGGGAGCGGGAGAAACAGAAAGAAAACCAAACAACAAAGAGGAGACAGACTTAAAATACATATAAATCATAGACGAGTTGAAAACCAAAACAAAACATTTTTCCTGTAAACCAAGGCTTCTTAACCTTTTTAACTTTTGGGCTCAATTTGTTAAATTTAAAGTAGCATGAGGCCRATTCACACATTAACAATGAATCAAATTCAATTTGTATTGTATTTGCATTCTAACTAAATGAAATGAACCTAAATTTAAAAAAGCAAAGACTTTGTCAAATCAATCAGAAGACATGATTATGACAAACATTGACCTGACAACATTTCCTGGTGGTAATGAGCGACACATAAACAATGAAGGGTCCAGATGCATACCCCCAGAAAATTTAGAAAAAAATCTACTCAAAGCTCAGCATGTTCCATCCACGTGAAGTGCTCTTTTCTTAATAGGATTAATAAAAACATAACGTTGTTATATATTTATTGAAACATAGAACAAAAGTAGAACAACTAGTCTTTGAGATAAACTTTATCTGAGGTCAGAGGCTCTACTTAAAATTTATTCTACTCTTATATTGCTTTTGTTTTACACTGAAACCACAAGTTTGCATGAAAATAAACTACTCTGAGAAATTTATTGATAGAAAAACAACAAAAAAGAAAATAGAACTTGTCCTCATGTTTGCTCCAGTCTTCACAGTATTTAACTATTTCTCTTGTGGCTCTCCTTTATGAAATGTGAAAATTCCAGTTGTGAAAAAATAAATCAAAAAGGCAGCTAAAAATCCCACCTCCACCCTTCACACTGTGTTTTTTCTGACAGCCTCAGCAACCAAAGATTAATCATGTTTCCTGGAACTTTCATGCAATTAAATTACCACCACCAACACAAAGCATATCAACACAGCCTTCCTACACAGTTCCATCAACTCTAATCTCCCTTCTTTGCTCCGTCTGAGCTTTCTCCCATTGACAAGGATTTCTGCAACAGAACTTCGAGTCCAATCAGCAAATAGAAGGAGGAGTTGAGAGCGATGACATTGGCTGTGTCTCCATTAATGTGTTGCAGCTGACGTCGGCCACTTACATCACTGCCCTGCAGCACTGTAGGCTGTCCCAATTTGTCAGCACGTACACATGCAGTTGACAAAACCTCAAAAACGCCAGCTGCATCTGAGTATCCTACACGGCTGACGGTATCTCAGAATTCATTGCGTCATCGGCAAATTAAAGAGAAAAACAAAGACAGCATTTATTTTCTTTTCTTTTTAATTTTATCACGGACCGAAAAACGTAAGTTACACAACTTAGCTGAAGAAACTTTTCTTGCAATGAGATGTTTAATAAAATGCACATGTCCTGCTACTGATACTGGCGCTAATCCCAAATTATTAATGCTTTTTATTTCTTTCCTTGTAATGTTTTTCTATTGAAGCTTGAAAAAACAACTGAAGTGATATAAAATGTACCACCATGGTAATGAGGCACAGTGTGGTCACACAAAAATACGTCTTCTGTAGACTAGAACGTTCAATATCACATCTGTTTATGCAGCTGACARGAGCGGCCTACGGTCCACGTCGACTGCAGCCAACGTCGGCCGCAACCCATGAACTGAGACGCAGCTATAGGTTGTGTCCAAATTCAGAGTCTGAGGGCTGGGCGGTATGACCCCAAAATAATAATCCCTTCACGGTAACGGTATACCTGTATATCGTGGTAGAAAATTATCATAAAAAGCAAAGAAAAACTTTAGACTACTCTAAAATGTAATTTTTAGAACATTTATTTAGCAGAAAACTGTAATTATAAACAAACCCAGTATGTTTGCTGTAGTGCAAATGAACACAACAGAAGTACAAAAGAATGTTTTATATATATTGCAAAATATTTTCAACAACAAACAAAGCATTTCTCAAATTTTCAACAATATCAAAATAAAGTGGATGTGATAACCAGTACTTCAAGTTAAATTAGTCATAAAATATAATCTAAGTTGGCATAAGTTGCCTAAAAAATTAGAATGTGACAGGACCTTAAGGGGTTTAAGCATTCCACCACATGATGGCATGACATAACTTTTCTACAGTGGGAGAGGGAAACTCTGGCTACGTTCACACTGCAGGTCTTAATGCACAATTCCGATTTTTAAAAAAAAATCAAATCTTTTGGTGTGAACGTTCACATTACATTTTAGATGCGACCTGCATCAGACGCCAGTGTGAACACAGCGCTGATGTGACACGCATGCGCAGTAAAAGACGTGACGTCTCATTCAGCTTGTTTGTTTACAGAGTTAGCATGGATGCTACTTTTTACACGTCAAATCTGAAGTTGTTGTTTAATCAGAGCCAATTAAATAATTATCTGACGCTTGTTTAGTTCATTGTTTATATCTGAACCTGCCTCTGACTGGGATGCTCCGATGAAACATTTTATTTTTGAACAAAACAACGAGCTGGAAATAAAGTAGCAACTGAGTAACTTTAGGATCAATACGTTCTGACCCAGGCTAGACGTTACTATCTACATGGAAAATTAAAAGTAAAAAAACAAAGTAACTGGACTTCTGTTTTGGAGCTGTAAGCACATGGCACTACAGATTTAAACAGCGTGACTTGAGGTTATTGTCTTATTGATCCTTCACCCCCCCCCCACCTCACTGATGAAAAAGTCAGCTGGAATGCAACACGAACGTTCACACTGCAGTCGCTTTGAAAACATCAGATATGTATTCGATTTAAAACCACATATTGAAACGGCCTGGGTCAGATTTGAAAAAATCAGATTTGTTGAATTCAGATCGTCATAAAAAATCTGATATTGGTCAGATGGGGCAAAAAAATCGGATTTGGGTCGTATTTGCCTGCAGTGTGAACGTAGTCTTTGAGGATTCTCTCAATACATGTTTTAAATCTTTCTTCATTATATTTTGAACTCCTCCTGCTCAGTTGTCTCTTCACTCGCAGTCCTGTTGACACAGGTGTGATGATGTGACTGACGACAGGATGGTAGAGGGTAAATTTCTACCGTAGGCCAACTTCATATCGTTTCTACCGTCTATTGCATATACCGCGCAGCCCTAGACCCGGCCTACCCGGTTTAGGCGGGCTGGGTTCTTGGTCGACCGTGAAGACTGGAAAAAGGTGGCTGTGAGTGTGGACAGTGTAGTCTTCTGCTTTATTCTCTCAAGGTAGCAATCGCAGACCAATTGTCTCAGTGTCAGTCGGGTGGTTCTCATATGAAAAAATAAAAATGAAAACCATTATCCTCTAGAACTGTCACAACACAGGGTCCTGTTAGTTGAGGTTGGATTGGTACTAGTTTCCCTGTAGGTTGGTCCCAGTCTAAATATTTGGTACTTTACCGCCTTTATTAGGGAACATGCTGCTGCAGTGTTTGAATGTGCTGCAGAGGAATATCTGTTCAGCTAACAATAATGATTTTCTGTTTGGACTTTGAGTTTAAAGTTAAACGGGATGCAGCTGGTGCTCAGATGGTGCTTCTGATAAGTCCTAACTGACCTTCTTTAAAGGTGGATTGTCCTTCTGATCGATCTTTAGCTTCCTTCACTCCTGTGAGGCTGTGCTTGGGAGGCAGCTCTTTTCCTGGAGAACCCTCCTGTAAGAATATCACAGTGAGAAAAGAAAAATTCACAAATCACACCCCCTAAAATGTTCAAATCTTACTGAAGGGGAGCGAGACAGTGGTGGGGTGAGTTGACGAGCCTCAAGGGGCTGAGTTCCTGACCAGTCATGCAAAGGAGACCTCTTGGTAGGCTCGGGACTGGTTCTAGGTCCACCACCTCCACCACATTCCTCCTGCTCGACTTTCACACCAACATCTGCCATGCCAACATCCCCGGCGTTGGAGAGGGGGTGCAGTGCTGGAGGGCTGGGCTCAACCATTCTGTTTGAAGACAAACACAACACAAGTGTCATCTAGGTGTGGTGAGCTCCGAGTCCAACTGATCTGGAACTGGGATCTGATGTTATACATGAGTTAAAATTAAAAAAGTAAACACCAGGTAAAGTCTGAACAAAGAATGTAGAATAAACTGTGGTGAAGAGTTTGATACAGTTTCTTGGTTTGGTTTAATGCAGAGACAAACTTCATCAGCTGAAGATCAGCTAAAGATCAGCTGAAGCTTACGAGTTTGTTGGGTTTGACACAAGTTCAAAATATTAATATTTCTTTTTAATCCACCAACATGATGAACCACTGAAACAGATTTTCTCAAATTTATTTAATAAGATAAAACAAGTGATGTAAGAGCGCAGGAACTACATTTGTAAAAACTCTTGACAGGTCTCAGATGTATGACCCCCACCCACCTCAGAATAGAGGGGACAGAGGAGGAGGGAACAGGTTGGGTCTGAACAAAAAACAGCTCAGGATTTTGTGTTATTTCCCAGGTCTACAAGCGGAGGAAAGAAAAACACAGCAGAACAAAACAAGCAGAACACACAAGGGCAAAAAGTGCACATATATAAAGAGAGGCAGAAAAAAAAGCCATTGTTGGAGCCAGGGAACAAAGGAAGCCCAGACAATGGGGGAGAGGCTGACAAAAGCCGGCGGCTGCAGGAAACGAGCCGGATAACAATGCCAGCGGAATGTGCCGACCAACTCGGGAACACAACAACAACAAAAAAGCGCCATCATATTCTGTGGAAAGCATAATAATGATCTGATCCACTTCAGCCAGGTCTCCTAGCCTGCACACCCTGTATCCAAACAAAGTCACCTGCCTGCCAGGAACTAGGGCTGCAAACATCACCAAAAGGCCAGAGCAAGTCTGTTTCAGTGAAACACCGGGACAATTCACAGAGGGGCATGAAACTTTCTCTTTCAGTGAATCGGCGAAGTGATGTTAGCGGCTGACAAATTTGGCCTTTTCAAGGACGCAGCTCCTAAATTTGGACACAGCCAACAACACTGAACAGGCAGTGCAGCACTCTTATAAATAGTAAACTAGTGCCACACATTGGAGCAAATCTAATTATTGTACTTCTAAACAAAACAACATTTAATGCAGTCAACATGTTAACAACTTCAGGACACAAAACAAATATCTCAACACTGCCAATAAAAAACACTGAAACCACTTTATTTTCATTCAATCTTTAATCTTCAGTTTCTATTACACTTTTCATTTTGCAAAGCATTCAGCAACTTTGGAAATACACAAAAACAAACYAACCTGTGATCTCGCCCCTGAGAAGTGACAGCTGTAACTGTGCTGCCCAAGTTAACTGGAAACTTAAAAAACCTCCCACCTAAAACACTGCAGTCAACCAGACACTGCTGCAAATTTTGGTTCAAAATTTGTTTTCAATAAAACTATTAGTTTGCAAATAGTGACWGACTGTTTTCTGTTCTGCATTTCTGTTTTCCTTTTCTGAGATGGACTTCAGATCTGTCCAGAGAGTGTCCCTGGATGGATGTTTGAAGAGTGCTGACTGGGTTTATAATTACTCCTTTTAGGCTGAGACACTGCAGAAGTGGTCCAGTTTAGGTTTTAGTCCAAATYTGACCCATTTTTGATCATTTTAAAACTAAATGTCACAAATACAGTTTTTATAAATCTAACCATAGTTACTTTCATGTGTAGTTTGTAGATGAGTCTAAATTCAACACATATTTGATGTTTTTCAAAGATCATGATGGGTTTTGTCAGACTTTTGTGTGACTGAATGAATTATTTCTACAATTTTGAGAAAAAACTGACCTAAATCTGAAAATTAGTGTACTGGGATCAGGAATCTGTATGGGTATCTAGTTTATGTTTTATTAATCTTACAGGTCTCACAGTCTAGAGTTTTGCTTTGTTTTGGTCCAAATGCTGATAGTCCCYTCTCCAAAAAGACAGAATGCCCCAAAACTTGTTTAAAATGTGTGCCCAAAGAACGCTCCCACTCCGAGTGGAAGGTAACTTCATAACCATCCCACCCCCGCTATAGGCTAAACAGTGCTTATCTTTGTCGTGTTAGCTAAATAATTCATAAACCAGAAAGAAATATGTTGAGGTAGAATTTGTCAGCTAAGTGTATTTACACCAAATACTCRGAGTACAAATTCATTTACAAGATCTGCTTAGCCAATAATAACTGTCTTTCTGTTAGCAAAATATTCCATCAACTCCTGGACTGAAAATTTTAGACAACAGCCAATCTACAGCTCATAAACTACTGACAATAACTCAGTTCAAGATGACCACATCAGCCGATCAACCAGCTAAAACAAAAGCATCTATAACAAAGTCCATTTAACAAACACTGAGCTAAAGTTTAGTGTGGTAGTAGCTGATAGTCATCKTCATTACATCGCAGATAAAAAAAATATCAGCTATGTCATTTACAGGTTTTGACCAAAATGTCTGCATATTATCACACAATAACACAAGATTATCTTTATCTTTAGATTTTAGATAATATAAAAATGACTAACTGTGTGGAGATTTGGGGAAATTCGTATAAAAACCAACACAAAACGTATTTATATGCTTCAGAAGAAAGCTATATAAATTACAAATGCATCAGATCATTCTCATCCAACTAACGACATATTTCTCACATTGCTTATTTAAAAGTTAATGATTTAGCAGAGCTTAGAACAGCACTGACAATGTGCAAAGCTTATACTAAAGTCCTTCCACATTGTATACAGAAGTGGTTCGAAATTAAAGAAACAAACTATGAATTAAGAAAGAAAAATTTATTTAAAAAAAACCAAAGGTTGGGACAAATATTAAAAATAATTGTACCTCTGTTAGGGGGATTTATGTTTGGAATAAATGTGAAGAGTTAAAACTGTTTTTCACTAACTAAATTTAAAATAATGTATAAAAAACTATTTGTTACAGAAATATACTAAGTTTTGATTGATTGTTTGCTGCTGATAGAGTTTTGTTACAAATTTAGTTAGAATTTCATTTGAAAATTTCTTTTAGAAAATCTATAGGAAAGATGTTGATTTGATTTTATAATGTATGAATAAAAAGTGAAGGTATAAAAAGCTTAGGCTTCTACCTACACTTTTTTCAGTCTATACCTTGTCTTTTTGACATTGATGGGAATTTAAAGCTTGTGTATTATTTTCAGTATCATTCTGTTTTGCTTTCATCATTCTGTGTTTTGTGCTGTTTTGTAAATGGAAAATTTTAAAATGACTGAATTTTTTTTGACAAAAATATCACAGCGTAATGTAACTGCAGGACATCCTGAAGAATAAATACAAACTGATGAGATGTTCAAATAAAATAAAAATACTACAAAAAGTTATAAATAACTGATGTAAAAATCATGTATTTACTGTATTTTAACCCAAACCTACTGATCTCTTTGTTTTTAAATCACAAAGGTGAGGTGATGTAAGTAAAAA